GAGGCTAACAGTCCGCGGACATCCGGGTCACACCAGCGCGACACCCGACGACACTCAGACAGATCAGACACACACACACAGACACACAAACGCCCGCGCACGCACGCACCCTCACCTGCAGGTCACCTGTTTGGTGCTCATCTTCCCCGCGGACCTTCAACAACTGCTCCGAGCTGTCACCGCGGTGCGCCGCTTAAACCGCTCCGACGGAGAGCGGCGGGCACAGCAATAAGGTTCCACTTCCTCCGGAAGTACGAACCCGTGGAAAGCGTCTCTTTTACCACAATAATCACAACACAATCAGTTTTTTGTTATTTTGCAAGTGGGATTTTTGAAAAGCTGGAATGTGAAGGTCTCTGTGTGTTCGGTAATAAAATAGAGCTGAAAGTCTGTTTGAGTGTTTTCAGTTGGAGTTTCTTTGCCAGGGTCTGTCGCTGCTTCTTCTTTTCCGTGCTCTTCATGTCGTCATATAAGCTGGTGGTGTTACCACCGCAGAGAAGTTTCCTTCCAACATTCGTCATGTTTGCAGTGTTTTCATTTAGTAAGTAAATAAAGTTAATTTATAATATTCTTTTCACAGACCGGCAGTCATAAAGCAATGAACAACAATTACAACACAATAAAGAAAGAATCACGTTACAAAAGAATTTAAGGTAACCCCCCCCACACACACACACACACACAAACAAAACAACACAAATAGTGAAAGAATATCAGTAGAAGGGTGGATTAAACCGAAAGTATTCAACTGCTTTTAAAAGACTCCAAGAGTCGACTGAGCTGGAGCGGTAAACTGATAAACCTAATATTGTCTTTAATCGAAAATAAGTAGCCTGAACTCAGTTTTTATCAACAACAAGTTTTCATTCAAAAAGCTGATAAGCTCGGTTTATTTGAGTTGGCTTAAATTAGAAAAAGTGGTGGACTGTAACTAAGTACATTTACCCCATATTGTACTTGAGTAGATTACAACTCATAGGTTGCCTGCTTTACTCGAGCTTTTCAGAATCAGCATACTTTATTAATGTGGGTTACAGTTGCTCCAGTACAGTAACATTAAGAAAAACAGACTGGACTATTTAACAATACAATATAAGCACAATATATACAAATCACCAAATAATAAATATCCAGGGTTGACAGATGTGATTGTAAATAAACATCAAGACGATAGACATCAACATTACCGAATAAGAAAACTGTGTGCAAAAGGCTGTAACTGTTGCAGTGTTTACAGTGTGTTAGATGGAGGAGTTGTAGAGGGAGACAGCCACCGGCAGGAATGATTTCCTGTGTCGTTCAGTGGTGCATTGTGGGTAATATCAGCCTCTCACTGAGCGTGCTCCTGTGGCTAGCCAGCATGTCATGGAGTGGGTGGGAGGGATTGTCCAGCATCGTCTTTATCTTGGACAACATCCGCCTCTCAGACACCACCTTAAGAGAGTCCAGCTCCGCCCCCACAACATTACAGTTGTGATCAGTTTATTCAGTCTGTTGGCGTCTGCGACCCTCAGCCTGCTGCCCCAGCATGCACCAGCACAGAGGATAGCACACAACAGACTCACAGAAAATCCTGAGCGTTGTCCGACAGATCTTGAAGGACCTCAGAGACTCTGGCCCGTCCTGTAGAGCGCAAAGGTTCCCTTTTATTCCTCTTTCTGTTGTTGCTTCACTGTATTTTATATTTTACTTCATCATCTGACAGTTTGTGTTACTGTTGGAAGTTTGTATATAAAACATGCAAATAAGTCCCCCAGGTGTGTTTATAAGTGCAACTAAAACGATTAATTAGTTCATTTTTGATTTACTTTTTGTTTCTAGACAAAAACAAAGAATTACATCTTAGGTCACACAAATGCCTGAAAAATGTTAAATAAAACCAGATGAAATGGTCATTGTATTTATTTTATCTCATTATCGAATGATTTTGCAAAGAAACAGACAAAAGGCCGTCTCCCTTCAGCTGGAGGATAAAACAAGATGGTCTGAAAATGCCACGTCGGTGTGTTCCTCCTCCCTCGCACAGAAGCAGCGTGGCAGGTCTGTTCTGTAGCAAATACAAGAAAAACGTTTAAGAAAGCAAATAAGTCGGTGTTCTAAAGAATATGTTTGCTTACATCAGGTGAGATGAGTCCTCCGTCACAGGTGGTGCAGTCAGTGAAGATGGTCACCTGCAGGATCAAGGTAATTGGCTCTCCAACCCACATCCACTGCCACTGTACTGGAGGGAAGCTGGGACAGTGTTAAAGACTTTCTTCAGGCAGTGATGGAAATAAACCATCCTTAACATACAACACGCCAGCTCCTGTGTTGTTTGATCTGGAGACAATAAATACATTTATATTGATTATGTCAGTGATGTAACTACAATACAAAGTTACAGGAACCTAAACTTGGTTTAGAATAATTAAATCTGAGACTTTGTTTCATTGTGAGATTATTAAATATTTAAATATGTTAACAACTAAATATAACATAAATGTGATCATATTTAAAATATAACTAAACAACAAAAGCTACAGTGACGACCTTGTACTCCTGTTCAGTAGAACAGGATGTTGGATGATCACCTGATTGTGGATTTGAAAATAAAAGTCGGGCTGACTTTGTTGTTAATTATTATGTTTAAATCATACAGTTTATATTAAATGTTGTACCAGAAATTTCTAAAGTTCAACAAGATCAAACATAATGTGATTTAGTTGCATTTAATTAGTGTGTCAGCAAATTAAAAGTTACCACAAACAGTTTTTGAATGTAGAAGTTGAAATGTTTGTCAGAGGGTAAAAGTTCGTCCTGCACAGTCAGAAACTTTGAGCACGATGTCGTTGTCTTCAGTAAGCATTACTTCGTTTTTTGAGGCAACGAGTTTGCACAATTTTTTTAAGTTCTGGGAACTAATGAGAGCCTCGGTGCCCCCCCAACCCCACCTAATACTAATAGGTTAGATAGAGCGCGAGCAGCAGTGTGTCTGATGATGAGGTCGGTACGTACGATCCACAGACCTGCTGTGAAACACGCCTGAATCTTTCCGTAGTGCCTGTTTTATTTACAGCCACATTAAAACTACAGAAGCTGAGCCGAGTGCTGACGAGCACAGTTACATCCAGCTCTTCAAAATAAAAGCTGAAAGGTCTGTTTTATTGTGGAAAGTAAAAGTCACTGCGATTGGCAGATTGAGGCCCACAGGCAGCAGCTGGTGCTGACGGAGGGGAGGGCAGGTCAGCCGTGTCGTCATGGAGATCGGGGAAATGAAATGCGATCATGTGTGATCATGTGATCATCTGGTGCAGAACCAAAACATGGAGGAGACGATCAGAGAGTCTCAGGACAGGAAGCTGCCCTGAAGCAGAGCTGCTTCCGTCACGTTCAACGCGATGATAAAACCTGATGATGTCATGGCAGATCTGACTGTGTCAGAGTGACGGGGACCTCTGGTTTCCATCTAAGTGAAATGTGATTGGTCGACTTCCAGTGAGATGCAAATCTGACTTCGAAGCTCGTGGATCAGGTGTTCCTGACAGGTGAGACGGAGAAACTGAGGCGTGTCCTGTGTGCTCGGCCAATCACAGCTCAGTGACGACTGCCGTCAAAGCCGGCTGTTCTCCTCGTTCTCTGGAAATAATGACAGCTGTTCTCAAGTTTCTCTGTCTTTTATTTTGTAAGGCACTTCCTGCTGTGACGTCTTCAGCTTATTCAAAATGCTGCTGCCGTCTCGTCACTATCACACGCAGCAGCGTCTTCTCATCGTTGGCTTCCTGTTTATCACAGAGTCCTAACGTTGGCTTGTGAACGGTCCTGCTCCTCCAGACCTCTCTGAGGTTCTTCAGCCTTGTATTCCCTCGCCGGCCCTTAGATCAGCTGACCAGCTGCTTTTGGTTGTCCCGAAAACTCGGCTGGAACTTTTTCAACTGTGTCTCCCAAACTTTGGAATACGTTGCCTTTAAATATGAGACATGCATCTTCGCTTCCTGTTTTTAAGTCTCCGTGTGGAGCGGTGTGAGCTGATGTGCTCTTTAAATGAAAGCAGGCCTGTGATTACAGGACATTGAAATCCCAGGATGCACTGCAGCTCAGAGCGACACCCGTCTGCAGGCCAGGTCCCGTTTCCGTGACAACACTGCCCACGCAGTCCAAAGGTCGCCTTGTTCGAGGGGAAGAAGTGACAGGTGAGCCTGGTCACGTGACCATCTTTGTGACTGCACCCACAACCCGATAGGCTGGGGCCAGACAGTGATGTTATCTGATAGGCTGTAACCGCGCCGACGGTTGAAAAGGAGAGGAGAGAAGAAGAGGAAGGCAGAAGTCAAAGAGGAGACGGAGGAGCAGAACGAGAGGAGACGAGGAGGTGATGGAGCGCAGCGTGATCCGTCTGACTCACTGTCAGGAGATCTTCTGCTTCTCTGTGCCGGAGCAGTGCCCGAGCTGCGGGGAGGAGCTGAGGGGGAGCAGGCTGCAGGAGGCGCCGGTCAGCCTCCCCTCCCCCTTCACCAACGGGCACAAGACCTCCTGCTGCCTGCTGGTCACACCTGCAGACAACAACCTGGACAGGTAACGCACACACAGGTGAAGGTACTCAGGTGTTTGCACACAGGTGAGCACACTGCCAGGTACAGTGTACCCAGAGGAACGTGAAGAAGAAGAACCAGTCATTATACTGGACCAGGTGATACGAGTATAACCAGTGTACCCAGTAGAATTACTAAACCAATCCTACCAGTGTAACCAGTCTAACCAGTGTAACCAGTCCAACCAGTCCAACCAGTCTAACCAGTGTATCCTGCTGTTTGATCCTCAGAGACTTTGATGGGGCGGCTGATCTTCACACCGGCATCTCCAACACCAAAGGTAGGTCTCTGAGGTCAGGGGTCACCTGGTGATCGTGGGCTCAGGTGCGAGGAGGCGAGCAGACAGGTGGGGGCTCGGTCAGGTGTCGTTTCAGCTTCAGATCAAACGCAGACAGTCACCATCCTCTACATGATCGCTGACCACGCCCCCGACCTGCCATATCCCTGATTTCATCTAATCAAAGACGTTCAAACACGTCTCAGTGTCACGGTGACAGGAAGGACGAAGGCGAGTGCAGAGCGTCAGTGTCAGTCGGCGACTTTACCGACTGACGCCAAAATCAAACTTTCAGACACGTTTAAACATTTATTTATTTATTTATTTCACACCTGGTCAACAGTTTCCACAGTTAGTTCTTTCAGACAAACCAACCACACTTTCAGTAAAGCAGGAAGAAGACAATATTCTTATTAAACCCCGCCCCCTATCTACAATCCAACTTATATTGCAAGTGGGCACCAAAAGTCAAGGAGCTAACATTAACATTTATCTCCGGTCCTAACAACAAATCTACAGTCAGAACGTACCGCTCCACACAGTAACAAGGAGAAAAGATGAGTAAATAAAATAATGGATCCTTTTTCAATGAACTCCAATTTCATTCACATTCTTCATATTGAGTTATTGTTTTATACATGTTGCACTTTTTAAAACGATGTAAATTTATAACTCTTTTTTAACTCTTTAAATGATGGTGAAGAGACTCCCACACTCGTATACTCCTAACCGCTGGACTCATTAATCATTGTGTGGTCATAGCTGATGCTTAAATAAAGTTTCCTTCTGCTGTCTTAAAAATACTCTTTGTAACTTAAAAGGCAAAATATTATTTTTAGCCTTAAACATAATTAAACATAATTAGTGTTCGTAGTTTCACTAAATCTCCTAATTTTAATAATTTAGATTTTATAAACTTATTTTTATGTTCTCTATATTCAACGTTATGAATCATTCATCTCAGACAGACGTGATCCTCCCAGCGCAGCGCTGACTGATTTCAGCTCTGATTAACCTGCAGCCAAACAATGATCAATAATCAATGTGATCGATGACCCGTGATCAGCTCCTCCTACCTGTGTGCAGGTGTTGTGTATAACTACACTCGCGGCGGCGTCCGCAGGGATCAGAGCGGCTGGGAGCGCAGCATCAGCGTCCCTCTGGTCCGGCCCGACATGTTCCACCTGCTCGCTCAGTGGGACCAGTACCTGGAGCGCTTCTCTGACGGGCCAATGTGGGACCCTGCCTGGCACAGGTAGCTCACACCTGACCTTCCTCACAGTTTACCTGAGAGCTGTTTGAAGGTAGGAACGCGTTCTGTCGTTACGAGCCTCCCTCGCTGTCAGACAGGCTCGAGGTGACCCGCGGTGGCCGCCAGACACAGGCGTGTTTCGCCGCCACGGCGCCTTCACCACCATCACCACCATCACCACCATCACCACCTTCACCTGCAGGTGTAGAAACCTGTCGACAGCTTTTCTCTCTGTGTGTCGCAGGTTTGATGAAAACAACCACAACTGCTTCAGCTTCTGTTTGCACTTTGTGAACGGCGTTCTGGCGGCCGAGGGCCGCGGCGCTCTGAGCAGGGACGACTTCACCCACACCTTCATCCTGCCGAGGATGAGGAGGGTGTCCAAATACACCGCGCTGTACCGGCACATCCAGAAACACCAGTTCTACAAGGTGGACCGACAGCAGCACGCTGAGGGGGCGGAGCCCAGCAGCTGAGC